TAATGTTCATCGTGATCGTTTACGTTTTAATACATGGCCACGCCATAGAAAAGAAAAACGTGATATACTGGTTGAATATGATAAACGTTTAGCTAAATCAGTTATACAAGAACTTGGTATTGGTATCAATAAAACATATCGTAATCCATGGGGTAATTTATCTTATGCTCAATTGATTACGCGTGCTATTGATAGTAGTCCATGGAAACGTTTAACATTAAATGAAGTTTATGAATGGATTATTAAATTTGTACCTTATTTTAAAGATAAAATTGATGCAAAAACAAGTTGGGGATGGAAGGTAAATGAATACTAAAATAAAGGAAAGATTTTTATCGAGAAAAAAATTACATCATCTGACTACGTAATACTTTTTTTCCCTTCTTTCTAGTGGAATAAAAGAAGTTGTCAAAACAATGTAATTTATGAATTACTTTCAATTCTTGAATCAATATTTAAAAGTCATAAAAATTTATAATATTAATTCTTTTTTTCTTTTTACATTTTCATTTCAATACAATCGATATCTTATTATTGGTTTTGATTTTAAGAAAAAAAAAACTCGGCACCTACTTTAATATTAAAAAATTAATCTTTGTTTGTTTACCTTGTTTTTTTCTTCTATTTCAAATATAGAATTCAATTCGACATAATTTATCCTTACATAATCAGTTTATTCGTGTGCCTGTTATATCATCATTATCGAAAGGTCCTGTTAAATATGTTTGGACAATAAATCCATCGTTTAAAAATAATTCTCCATATAAAAAATATAGTCTTAAACGAAAACGAGCAGCTGCTGCAGCAGCACTTGCTTCACAAGCTGCTGCAGCAGCAGCGGCTGTTTCAAATGTGAATTCTACATCATCAACATCATCAACAGCCGCAGCAGCATTATCACTATCACAAGATCGAAGTTCACCATCATCATCAGCAACACAACCACTTATAAATATGTCAAATAATTATCATCGGCAATCATCAACAACAGGAACATCTTTACAAAAATCAACTCGTATTAATGAACATACACAAGGAAATAATTCACCAACACTTAATCAATTATCAGTAGCTGCGGCAATGATGTCAGCTGGTGTTACAGATCCAGCAGCATATCGAGCCTTTTTAAGTACTCAAGCAGCAGCTATGATTAATAAACATAAACAACAAACATTATCATCAACAACAAATCAACAACAATCATCATCGATGTTACATCGACCAACTCAATCAAGTTCAAAAACATTTGCTCATGATACTGGCCTTCCGGTTCCAAAAAAACTTGCACTTGGGACTGATCGATATAAACAACAACAACAACAACAACAACAGCAACAGCAACATCAGCAACAGCAGCAGCAACAGCAACATCAGCAACAGCAACAACAACAACAACATGCTGAATGGCTTTTATCCTCATATCGTCAACAACCACCGCCGTATAACGGTCGACATCCTCATCCATCTGGACCAACTAAAATCATGGTGAATCAACAACGTTCACCATATTTACCACCTCCACCTTCAACATCAGCAACACGTGTTAATTCGGATATAAATAATTTATCTCCATCATTACAACGACGTGTTAGTTCGCCACCAGCATATTCATCAGCAGTTGCAGTTGCTGCACAAAATAAATTATTAGCTCAAACAAAACTTTGGCATGCTGCTGTACAAGCGGCTGCTCATGCTCAACAACATTACCATCATCAACAACAACCACCACCACCGCCACCACCAACAAATCCTATAAATGAACTTCAAAATTATATTAATTGTTCGAATACATCAAATGTAAATCATAATAAATTATCAACATATATTAATCCTGAAACACTTAAACTTTTATCAACAACGACAACAACAACAGGAAATAATTCTCATGACGAACAGCATATTTATTCAAGTGATCCACGTTATAAATTAATGCGTGCATCATATCCAAATGCAACAACTAATTCAATACCACCGCCATGTCTTATTCGACAAAGGATTAATCAAAATAATTCATCAACATTAACACAACAACAACAAATTGATATGGTTGCAGCTGCATATCATAATTATAGAAGACGTTCAAGTGGATTTTCATCGACAACGAGTCATGGTGGAGCAAGTGATGATGAAAGTGATGAATATATTCCACCAAGAAAAGATTCGGTATGAAAAAAATAAAACATCATAGTAAACAGTTTCATAGACAGTTTTGTATCTTTTTCTATAGTCAACTTCTAATGCGTCAAGTGGTTATGAATCAGGTTTAGCAGCTTGTCATCAATCACCACCAGTATCATCATCGATTCGTACAGAATCAGGTTCATCAATAACATCGGAAGCATCATCGTCATCATGTTATTATAATAATTATAGTAACACAAAACAGTCAACTAAACGTACAACAAAAATAAATTCAAATGATAAAGATATTGAAATGGATGATCGTCAACAATTATCAATAACTTCTGTTGGTGGTTATGTTGATGATCTTATGGAACGTATACGTAAAATGCCGCCTAAAAAACGTTCAAAATTTTATCAAATGCTTGATGAAGAACGTTTAAAAGATCTTAATAATAATAATGAAGATACTCATAGAAAATCAAAAACTATTGAAGTTGAAGATGATGAAAATGAACATCAAATATCCATGGATGTATCAATGCCATTAGTTGTTGATGAAGTACATAGTGATGAAGATGATGATCGAACATTAATTGAATTAACACCAAATACAAAAACTGTTCATTTAGAAGATGATGATAATGAAGAAATAAAAGATAAATTCAAACAACAACAACAACAATTTTTTGGATTAAATGAAAAAAGTTATGAAGAACTTCGTTCAATGGGTATACCATTAGCTGTATTAAAAGCAATTGCTTTTCAACAACATCAACAAACGCAATCACATAATACAAATAATAATAATAATAATAATAATAATAATAATAATAATAATAACAATAATAATAACAATAATAATCAATTATCAAATTTTTTAGCAAATAAATGTACAGTAACATCAACAAATTCTTCAGCAGATACAAAAAATTTATTAAATGCACGTACAATACTTCGAAGAATTTTACAAGAACATCAAAAAGAACAACAACAACAACAACAACAAGGTGAAACACTAATTGAATCAATGAATTATACAATAGATGAAGAAGGTGCTATTATTGAAGATGATGATGATGTACATCAATCATCAACAATGACGCCTCATAATAGAAATGGTGTTCGGTCAAATAGTCATAATCCAGGTACTGTAACGCTCAATCCAAATGATATTTCATCATTATCACCACCTACATCAACATCATCATCACCTGATGAAACTGATGTTAACCATCAAACAAGTCCAACTTCACTTAGTCGACCATCAAGTACACCTGCTGCTCTCATTTCCTCTGGTTATTGATTGATTCTAGTGGTTTCCACTATTTGCAGGTCAATTTTTTTGTCTCAAGCTTTCTTCAGGGACTTTTTTTTCTTATCTACTGCTCACAGTGCAACAATCTATCTTTTGTTTCTTTTTATTTCTTTCTGTGGTGTTTTAAACGCGAAAAATAAGCAAACAAATCGTCATCATTGTGTTATGAGTTTGCTCAATATGTCTTTAAAGAAGACAGAAAAAAACTAAATAAAACAAAAAAAAAAGTTTATCTGCTTAGCAGGTTTTTCTTTCTCCTATTCCCACATATGTATGTATATACAGGATTATCCTCGCAGAGACCTTTTAACGTATTTGTTTTGTTTTTGTGTGTCTGTTGAATCTCTTGTGTCCTAATAAGAAGAAAAAGAAATGATCGCTAATGATAGTGATAAAAAAAAAATAATTCATTATATAGATATCTACATTCAGACGAAATTATCAGGTATAATGCTCTATTTTTGCTTCTTTTTTTTTTGTTCGTTTTGTTTTTCATAATTTGACTGAAAAGAAAAGGAAGTTTAATTCTAAACAAAAAAAAAACATTGCATCATTTCGAATGAACGAATTGACTTGCCAAAATTGTTCAATTGTTTTCTTCTTGTTATTGTTCTTTACTCTTTGTTTTTGTTTTCTTTCTCAAACTTTGTTATATGTTTATGCGTATTTTCCTTTTCTTACTGCCTCGATACTTTTGATTTCTTTATTTCTCAGGAATTTTATTGTCAAACTTTGTTTCTTTTTCTTTTTTAAATCAATAACAACTGTGTTGCTCTTTTATTTGTTTGACTTTTGTTATTCATTAGCAAACACAGTCCGATTTCTATTATTATTACTATGATGATGATGTTCATATCCACATCAATTTCTTTTTATTCGTTTTTTTTTGTACAAAATACTTATTTGTCTGTCTTGTTTTCTTCTTCTATAGTCACATCATTGAGCAGTGCTTAGATTGATTTTGTTTTAACATTCATGTGAAGTCGAATTATATCTATCCAAATTCATGTATGTGTTTGTGTAAATCTTCTTCTTCTTCTTCACAGAACAGTATCATCATTTTAGTTTGCTCGATTAAAAAAAAACAAAAAAAAAATAATTGTGAACGAGCATTTTATCGACTCTTGAACATAATTTTCTTTTACAATTGATTTTTATTTGTATGTATGTATGTCTATGTCGTGTTTTCTTATTGAATGTTTGTCTATTTTCCAAAATCTATCATCGGTATTATTATAATCCATAATTTGTTTTTTCTTTTTTGTCTTGTGTATGTCACGGTGTCGATGATATTCTATTTCTTTCTTTCTTTTTTAAATGTGTCTATCGTTTTTTTTCTTTGTCTATGTTTGTAACAATTTTTTTTCGAATAATAAGACAAACAAGATATGACATATATATGTGTTAACAATGAAAAGACGAAAAAGAAAAATTCAACAAAAGAAAAATCAATTTTTATGGATCAATTCTTATATTTATTGGAAAATTTTCGATTACAATAAAAATTTTATGCAAAAAAAGTTCATTAAAAAAGAAAAAAAGAAGTAGCGTTTGTGTTTATCTATACAGCACCATAAACATTACTAGCAGCAGCAGCTGGTTTGGGAAACTGCATTGCAAAACCACTAGCAGCAAATTCTTGTGGATGAAATTGATACCAAGCAAGAAGTAAATTTTGTAAATGTTCAGGATGTGTTGTACCTAATGCTGATGGATTCATAGCAAAACATACAAATGCGGTTCGTACACCAGAACTTAAAATTGATGCCATTATTGTTCCCATTGCAAGACCAATGGTAAAACAAAATAGTGCTGCCATACCAGCAATAGCAGCTCGTGAATGTGAATGTGGCATTGCAACATATGTAGCTACACCACCAATACCTGCTGAAATAAATCCAATAGCTAGAGTCACAATAGTTAAAGCACTTCCTGCAAGATCATCATTAATAATCATTGTCCAACCACGTTGTTGAAATAAATCAAGAAAACTTCGACTAGCAGCACGAAATGATTGTCCAGTTAATGCAGAAAATACAAATGCCCATTCATTAAGATATCGTACTAAACCTTCAAATATTCGAAGTATACATACAGCACAACAACTTATTAGTAATAAAAGAATATTTCCATCTCGACGTGCGTTACTTTCATTTATTTGTGCAACAACACGTAAAGCTTTTATAAAAGCAAGTATCAATGAACCAAATGATATTGTACCAAAATTTGTTGTAAATGCACGTTGAAGACTTCTTTCAACTGCATATTGTCTATGTGCATCTGCTATAAACCACCATTGACCAACAACACATGCTGTTACAAAATGTGTTATATTTCGAAATGTTAATGCTCCCCAATATAAAGATGTTAATAAAACAATTGCCAATAAACCACCTGCAGATTTATTTGATGATGAGTCTTTATCATTCGATCGATTTACAACATGTTCAAAACCTAATGCCATTAAACTCCAAAACAATACCCATAATAATTGTAATATTAACATTCCTATAGCAACCAATAAAATTGATGGATGACTACGTAATGCAGAACATCCAACTTGTATATGAGCTTCAGCAAATGCAATACGATTTCGAACATAATAGATATACCAAAGTGAAATAAGAACAAATATAAGTGTTATAATACCCATAGGCCAAGCAACTACAAATAAAGTTATACAAAGTAAAATTTGCATTGCTACACCCATGTAAAGTGAACATTTAATAATGCGACCAGCACATCGTTGTAGAACAAAAAACGCGACAAATGCAACCAATCCACTTAAAACTGCAGCACCAGCAAAAATACGAATAAATAAATCAGCATTATAATCAAATACAGTTCGTGTAGGATCATCATAAGATTTTTGTGCATCTGCACGAATAGCAGGTATACCTAATGCAAAACCAAGTATAACTACAATAATAAAATGAATCCAAAATGCAATAGCAAAGCCACGATCTTTCCATCCAGACCATCCATAATTATATTCAACTTGTGGATATTGAGAAGCAACTGGAAGTGCAGTACCTTGTGGCGGTGATGATGATGATGATGATGATGGTGGTATTGGTGTTGTTGATTTTATATCACTAAAAGATTCCGTTGAAGGATATAAGGGTGCTGCACCACTGAATAAATGATCTGTTTCACTCATGACACCTTGTTATTTATCTAAAACAACGAGAACTCAATAAACAGTAACAATTCTATAATAGTTGTGTATGTTAGATTGCCAGGTGAGATGAATGCAAATGGTTTTTTGTTATTCTTTTGCTTTGTTTTTTCTATTTTCGTCATTCAACAAGTTTTTTCTCTTTCTTTCGCAGATATGGTGTCATGTATTAGTCACACACGTGTGCTGTAAATATACATTTACTCATTCTAATCTAATCACTACCGTTTCTACTTCTTGCTTTAGGAGACTATGTTAGTCACCACTACAGTGAAAAAAACGTCGGCTATCTAAAGAATAACGATGCTATAGATATACTATGTGATATTTCGTAACTGTGTTATAATAACATGGACCTATAAGTGCAATAACCATCATTACTTTAATTCATCTAACCTGTTGTTTTAATTATCCTTCCCTTTACTCTTTTATAAAGCAATAAGAAATATTTAATCATAGTGATTAAAATAATTAGGAATTTATAGAGAAAATTGAGCATTATTTGGTCATGTTCAACATAATACAATAGAGATGAGTATGGGTATTGATGATTTCTTCTTCAACACCCAAACCTACGCCCTCAGTAAAACAAAATTGTTTGATCCTAACGGTACTGGTTTCAACTTCTTTTATTTCATGGTTGCAGTTCCGGTTCGATTCTCGGTTCAATTTTTGGAAAGACCAGGACTCTACCGATGATTGTTGTCTCTGAATATTGGTTAAATGAGTAATGGAAACGAGCAGAAAAACAAATATAAACTCATGAGACCTAGTCGTATTCGTCTCGTTATCAGCGTTATCAAGAGTTCTACTTTTTCTGCTTCAATCAATTTGAAACACCACTAGCACAAAATAATAAGATTTTATCTTAGCATTGCAACCAACCCTCAATACCCTAGTCGAATAAAATATCTTGGTATTTCTCTTCATTACCCATGCCATTCCCTATGGCTAATCTTCTCAGCCTTGTTGCATGAAAGCATCTCCAACTCCGCACCATTTAGTTAGATCATAAGCTATAAATATCTTACACATAGTAAAAGCAAGATACCGCATGCTTTTTTTACTTTAGCTGCTCATATACTTCCTTCATGTGGTGTTAAGCATGTTATATTAAATCAACTCAAACTCCTCAACTGGATGATAGATGTACACTTCACTCTCAGATTATCGTGATGGTTGCGTCAATAGCTGCGAAACCCTTTTACCACGGAATATTGGTATTACGAAATTACTTATCAAACATAAGATATTCAAGAGAATTCGCTTTGATTATTAGTCTATTCTGATTAATACAATGATTGAAGTCTTCACATTGCTATTTGTAATCTGAGATTTTTTATTGATGTTCTGCATTTGAAACCCATCAATTTCAACATAGGTACACAATACAAATTTTAGTGTTAGTACAATTTATTTTTCAATGATTTTTATTCTGTAAACATCTAAGTATTTGATAGCAACTAATTTTCTTGTTGAGCAGTTTCATTTATCTTCCTCTGCTTTTAAGAACTTATTGGCATTTGCTTCGATGGTTTTGAATTCTCTTGTCAACACTTTCCTGAAATATTATATAAAAGCCAATCGGTATTATTAATTGTTTTTCAGAGTTAAAATATAAAATCATCGAAATCATTTTCCATCATTGTTGATATCATCATTGATACAGTATGTTTATTAGAGAATTCAAATTCCGCATAGCTAATTGAAGATCAAGTCTAGCCGCCCAATATTTCATGACTTTTCATCCTCTAACTACACTAACTGTTGCTAGTACTTGTAGACTATGATATTAACGAAAATTGAGTTTTCGGCTTTTGTCAAATTCACGTATAAGATCATAATCTTTAACTTTAATCGAAAAAATGTTAGCCTAAGAGTAAAATTATGATCATGCTATTTGGAATAATTTGTTCTTTTTCAAACCCATGTACAACAACGACTATTGTTTGTTATGATCCCTTATCTGGATATATATCTCATCGAATAGATGAACAATCATAGTGAAAGCTCGATAAGAAATCAATCATCGATTCATAATCATCAACAAAACCGCCAGTAATGATCAATAGATTTTTTTTTGTAACCATTACTATTCATCGACTATCAAATACATCAATTTATCAGTATTAATTATTGCCATTAGTGCAATAAGAGAAAAAAAAATCTTCTCCTAAAACAATAATGTCTAAACAGAGCACTACGTACACGGTAGAAGTTAAAATTTCTTGGTTTTCATTTATGGATAGCTTACATTAATTCCAAACCAAGAAAATGCTCATTTTTTTGCAAATGTCGTCTTTATTATAAGTTTTTCATCCTTATTCCATGCTACTGACATTATGTTATTATTTAATTGAATGCAATTCAATTTATTTTATATGCGTCAATTAGGAGCTACAGTCTATATTTAGCCATTCTACTATACATTAATTATAATCTCAAGTAATCTATAAGTAACGTCGTTATATAATCTTCTTAACTTAGGAAAACTTGGTAAGTATTGAATGTGTGTTAACTAGTGTAACGTACTAACTAATTCAGTACACTTATAAAACAAGAATCTATTATTTTTCTTGGAAAATCTCTCTAAAAGAATTGATTTCAGAATAAATATAATATTGTGGCAAGCATGTAAATATCTCTTTTAATGATTAAATCAGAATAATAAATTTCGAAGTTAGAAAAACATATCAATGTTGTTCTTGTTTAACTATGCTTGTTTTACGCTCACAATGATAACTAAGAAAGAACAAACGAGCACACAGAACGAACAGTAGTGATTTTCCCTATGGACGGACAACATTGGAAAGAAAGACAAACGAAAAAAAAATTCTATGCCATTTGTTCATTCGTGGCCGATTCTTGAACGGCTGTTTTTGTTTTTGCAGCTGAATTTTCATCATCATCTTGTTCTTTATTAGGTGTACTTGATTCTTGTTTATTTTCAGCATTGGTATTACTTTCAGTAGCCATTGATGATGGTTCGTGATCATCTGAAGCACCTTCTTCATCATCAGAATCATCACCCATACCTGGCATATCGTCCATACCACCCATACCACCCATTCCACCCATGCCTTTATAATTAAAGATATAAAGTTAAATATATAAAAAATAAAATAAAAAAGAAGTTTAATATTTTCTGTTACCTCCAGAGAACATATCTTGAAAATTTCCACCAAATCCTGGTTTTTCTTCATCACTTTCATCTTCATCTTTCCAATGATTAAAATCAGTTTGTAACCAATGTAAACGTGCTTTATCTTTTGTTAATCGTGGCCAAAATATAGCAGTTGTATCTTTCTTCTTTAATAATAAACGCCAATATTTTTGACCAATATTTTCATATTTACAAGCATTAGGATCAATTTTTTCATATAAATCTATTTTAACAGCATAAACGTTTGTATCTTTAGCGTTACTCGATGTTGTTTGTCCATGAAAACTAACTGAATTTTCTTCAAATTTAACATCAACTTTTTCAATATCAGGCACAGCAATTGTTAAAAGAACAGTTTCACGTTGTTGAGCCCAAAGTACATGAGGAATGTGAGTTTGTTCAGGCATAATGCGAGCAGTGATTGATATGACAGCACAAGACGTAATACACAATGGCGCAAGGAAGTAGTTAATGAGGGTCTTATTTATTTTCCCAGTAATGTCGATAGTGGCGACATCATCTTTTTTTTTAAAGGAAATTTTCTTCAAATTATAATGATTTATTAATTTTAACTTTTTTTTATTCAGGTTTTTCTATGATTGTTGGAATTCAACTTTTGAACCATTCAGAAACGAGCAAATCATATTAACACTTCATTATTTATTTGGTTACTGATGGCTGGTTATCCGACGAATGTCTTACGCTCAAGGCATAGGTACACTTGCTGCAGGTGTGGCACTTGGTGTTCTTGCTACAAGTACATATTTTCATCTTTGGGAAGGACGAATATCATCAAATGATGTTGCATTACTTCGTTTTTCACCCGATTTATCGACACAGATTATTCGTAGACTTGATCCAAATTTTGCAGTATGCTATGATCGACGAACACGAGTTCCATTATGGACAATTGAACATTTAACACGTCAAACAATTACAATGGGTAAAAATGTTGATCGAGGAAATTCCATATTTCGAGAAGATAAACACATTCATCCATTTTTTCGTTCAACAAATCAAGATTATTTTGGTAAATTAAAAAAGAATATAAAAATTAAATTTTTAAAATATTTTATTTTTCTGTAAGGTTCTGGTTTTGATCGTGGTCATCTCATTCCAAGTGCAAATCATCGATCTTGTCAAGAAAGCATGAATAATACATTTTTTCTTTCGAATATTGCTCCACAAGTATAGTTTAAATTTTTTTTTTGTTTCCTTTTCAATCTGTATATAAAAGCAAAACTTGAAATTTGTTTAAATCTTTAGGTAGGCAAAGGTTTCAATCGAGATAAATGGGCACATTTAGAAAAATACGCTCGTGCACTTGTTAAACATTATATTGGTGGTTTATGGATACTAACTGGACCACTCTATCTTCCTAGGTATATATTAACTTAAAAAAAGAAACACGATTTTTTCCGTAGTAATGATAACCATGTAAACTTCAGATGTGTTTCGAAAAAATTATTTGATAAATCAAAAAACAAAATCTAATAGAAATGGGATAGATGAGCGATAAGTACGAGGAACTTTCAGCATCGTACGCACAAAATAAGAAAGCTAATGGATGTGAATTGAAATGAAAAGAAGATGAAAGAATGTTTCTGCTATTACGATACTTTACGTTACAGAGTGCTGCCTACCGGTGGATTCAATAGCCCAATGTCTTTCATATAACTATGACTAGGTGTAGTTCTAAATACAAATTCAGTTTGACGCAAAGTGCTATCCCTCAATTACTTGAGTCTTTTATACATATTAATTAACAAGAGTAGGTATATGTCACAACATAGTTATCATGCTATCGAGCGAATGATATGAAATAAATAACTGTTGGTTACCTGTTCAAGACCATTATATGGCTAGTGGCATTGAAATTTGCACATAGTACCTTATAGATATATTATGAACGAAGACTCATGATCACTGCAGAGAAGACTAAAATTCAAACACGTTCATTAATCTTTCAATAGATATCATATTTAGCTTTATATTTTTTGTGTGCTACTCATTTCCGTATTGATCGTTCTGATTCTCTCAATGTATGTGTCTCATTTAGACTTGATCCAACAGATAATAAACTCTATGTAAAATATCAAGTAATTGGTCCAAATCAAGTTGCTGTTCCAACACATTTTTTCAAAGTAATTATTGGTCAACGAAATGATGGTCAGCTAGATATATATTCTTATTTAATGCCCAATGAACCAATTGATAATGCCACACCACTTGATCAATTTCTTGTTGCTCCTGAACTTATTGAGCAAAATACCGGATTTTTAATAATAACAGAAAAAGTTCAGAAAAATAAAATTCGTGTAATCAATCAACCATGGATTGATTTTAAACTTGATTCATCTCCCCCTTCACAACGTCAAAAATCATTACCAGCACCATCTTCAACTCCTTCTGCAGCATAACAACTTTTTTTTTGCTTTGATAAAACAAAAAAAAAAAACATTGTTCAATTTTTCTATTTTGTATGTAATTATCTTTTTCTATGATATTTACATTTTCAGATATATATATATATATAATTTAATATTTTCATACAATGGCTCTTGAGAATGATCAAGTAAAATGAAAATTCAATATTTAATTTAATTTATCGTTTTTACCTACAAGGTTTTGGCTATTTATGCCAATATTCTCGGTGTAATCGTTTTTTTATTAGTCGTTGCTTATCATTATATTCAAGCACAAAATCCACGTAATCAACGACATATAAATGAATAGAGAGAATTTTAAAAATAGATAACTGTCAAACGTGACTGTTTTTTTTTTTTTGTTAGAAAATAAACGATTGAAAAACAATGATGTATACATTTAAATATAGAAATAAACAAAACACGAAAATATTCTTTATCAGTTTATAATAGATGTTTTCAGTGAAAATGACTAAATATTCTACGTGCAACATTTCTCATTTTGCTAATGCGCACAACGTATTCTAACAACGTAATTTTTATCCGAAATAAGATAAAACAAAATAAAATAGTTATTTCGAGCAGGTTCGAGATCAATATATAATCGTCGAACATTCTTTCATTTTCTCCTAGTGCGCATATTTCTTTTTCTTTTCTCCATGAGTACAAGGACAAGCACTATAAGAAAAAAGAAAAAGCACCAATGAAAACTATTCATTGACATGAGCTTTGTTAGTTCCTGCAGAATGAGAAAAAGACACTCCCTTTTTCTTTCTGTAAATACACATTTTTTCTCGAGCTCTATAAATAAAGGAGCACATTTGAGAGACATGTCACATTTCTTTTAAACACTCATTCATCAATACATAACTACTTACTCAAAACACAATGCCTTGTCGTTGTGAATGTAAGTTAGCTAGAATAAGAGTTTATTAACTTCAACATGAATGGTTGTTTTCTTTTTCTTTTTAGCTGGAAAATGTGCGTGTAAAGAAGATTGCAAAAAAACAGGCGAATGTACATGCGATTCAAGTTGTCAATGTCAACAGCAAAGTAAGTTAAACTATTATATCTATTTTTATTTCATAATATTCTTTTATTCATTTGTTTAATAATCTAGGCACAGGATGTGGCAATACTCAATGCAAATGTGAGAACTGCAAATGTCCACCTGGATCATGCAAATGTGGAAGTTAAATATAGACAAGAATTCATCGAAGGACAATTATATTTCTATCCTCGCTTTTCTTTTTCTTTTTATGATGTTGTGTTAATTTTTGCATTATATGTTATCAATAAACAGTAAAATGCTTTAAAAAAAATCTTCAATTTGACTTGCATATAAGAATTAAAATTTTAATATGATAAACATGAAATGATATCTTGATCTATGAAATAAGTCATAAATAGCCTTATGATAAACAAGAAAATGAAATATCTTGTTGTTGATTAATTTAGTTGGACTCAGCTTTTGTTTGGTAACGAAAGTTCTCTCAAAGTTTCTCTTTTCATACAGATAAGATAAGTGAATACTCCTGTCAAATATTATTGTTTGTATCATTAGAATCATTGAATCTGTCATCGAGCAAGAAAAACTACATGTGTAGCGTTTCATAAAGAAATTTATGCATGATACTATATTAGTGTATACAGAGCAAATTTTCAAAACTAGTTAGTTTCAAAGTCAACGATAAAAAATTTCTAGTTTTCAAACATGAAACACCGACTTTTACAAAGATATTGATGTTTTGATGCTTAACGAGCTACAATTGGACGTTCTACCTATGGGATATGAATTCGAAGTTTTTATTGTTTATTTCTCACAGTAATTCCAGAAAAGCTATTGATAAAATAGCTTTATAAGTAGAATATTAGTCTGTCTAATGTGCTAATGATGTGAGTCAATCCGTCGAGTGTCAATCTCTTCGTGTAGAGCCGTTCGATTGATACACTGACCATGTGATGAAGAGAGAGAATTGAACGATATACTCAATCTTGATTTTTTCTTTCTTTGACCACATTCTTGAGTGAACAAATGCAATATTAATGCAATGTCATTGTAGTAATTGAAAAAAAGAAAAGAATGAACCGATAAAAATTAACTTCAAAAGAACTTTTTCGTTGATTTTTATCGCACAGACATTTTGAAAGATCTCTATTGATTTATAGGTAGGGAACATTTTATTTCGAAAAATTCGACTTTTTCTATTTTTTTTTTTAAATATGTCAATTTTACAGACTCGATATTTCGCAGATAAAGCAATAAAAAAGAATATTCTTTGCACTAGTAAACAGCCCATGGAGTTCACTACAAAAAATAATTATTTCTATTGTTTTCAAATCACATGTTTCTTTTATTTTCTATAAAAAATTCTACAAACCGTCATTCCAGTGACTAACAGAACAGTAAATATGTATTTTTTTAAATTAGTAATAGATGAAATTTCTTTAATAAACTCGAAAATATAACTTAACGGTAACATTTGTTTAGATTATCAATATGAAAAAAAACTTTCAAAACAAGCACATTCGAAAGAACTGAAGCAGAGATATTTCAATTTTTTTATTGTACTATTATTTATTGCCCAGTCTGTATCATAAGAACTTTTCTGTTTATTTTCAATTCTTCAAAAGATAACTTCCTATTCGATATTGACCTTGAAAGTATCTAGAATTTTTCCGTCGTACACGTAAAAGAAGCTAGTTATAGATTATTTATTGCATAACAATTAATTATCGAAAATGATAAAAGTTATTTTCTTTTTGTTTTCAATAATTGGAAAAAAGAATTCGAATGTCATTGCCGATAAATAAACCTTTGATAATTAAAAACAAGTATCAATCGCGTTATTTTTTTTTCTTGTGTACTTCACTTCATACTATTATGTTTTTTCATTCTATTGAGGTATCATAGGTACTTTGTCCTTAATAAAGGGTACAGATAATAAAAAGAACCAAAAAAAGGGGTGCTGAATCGAAGA